TACCCTTTTCTGACAAAACTAAAAAAAAGGGGATACAAATGAACAACCATTTTGTATCTGTATATTCAGAATAGTTAGGAGAGATATACAGGTACATTCTCTTAATTCAATGAATAGAAAGATTTGTTCTAATAGTGTTTGTGGACAGGATATCATGTCTTCATCTTGTACAATGAATAACCACTAAGACAGCAATATGCAATGTATTAATTATTGAAACTGTCCTACTAATTGGCTTTGAAACTGTCTCATTACTATCTGCTTCTCAATAAAATTATTAAAAAATAACAAAATAAAAAAGTATATTAAGAGTAGGGTCAATGTTAAACCACAATGTCCACATGACCAACAGGTGGTCAACAGTGTCTGAGAAACACAAACCTTGTAACAATTCTATGATATTCTTGTAAAAAATTTGAGAACGAAGTAATGTGGAAAAGCAGTTACAATGGAAACCTGAAAAATATATAACCTGTAGGTAAAGTCAAAATGAGCATCAACATTTTGTTTTTCTGATTCAGTGTAGGGTGTTGTTTTCTAACTTTCAATAAAGTTTCTTTGTTCTGATGTTTTTAGTCTCTCATGAGTGTTTCTCTCTTGCTCAATTCTGCCACAACACTACAACATTTAAATGGCTTCACCACCCTCCAAGTGAGAACAATGCTATGAAAAAGTAAATTACTCAATATGTCCACCCTCTCTAAGCCCTACAATACTCCCATGTCACAGAGAATAAGATCAAACAGCACCATGGTCCATGTAGCCCCACATGACCTGGACCTGTCACATCGCAGGTTTCCCCTCTTCCTGCACCTTTGGCTTACTCTGATGCAGCACCAATGCTGCTCCCTAGACTTCTTCCTGTTATGGTCCTTCAACAAAACCTGTTCTTTTGGTACAGGCACCTGCATCTTTCAGGGTGTCTGCTTAGAAGCCAAACAAGACAAAATCTTTTTCTTTTTGGCAGAACCGGGGATTGAACTCAGACCCTTGTGCTTGCCAGGGAAGCGCTTATTCTACTGAGACATCTCCCCAGTCCTAAAGTCTTTTTCTGATCCCTCAGACTAAATGGTTCTCTCTACTTTCTAAAATATCATTGCTCTTTATATTAATAATAGCATTTGTCTATGTAGCATCACTGTTTCTCTTTATTTCTTGTTTATCTGTATCTCCCAGCGTACTGCCTATAATCCTAGGCACTGTGTATGCCTTGTTCAAGATGCCACATTATCAATGCCTAGAATCCTCCTCAGGACATAGAAAGTGTCCGGGAAATTATTATTGAATTAATGAACAAACAAATGAGTGATCAAAATAGCACTTCCATGCAATGTCTCATTTAGCCCTCACAGCAAACTTAAGAGTCATGCGTTCTTATTGTCACTGTGCTGCAGAAAGAAACTATAATCCTCCAATTTCAAAGTAATTTGGAATCTTATTGGAGAAGAGAAAAAGAGCAGTGTCACCCTCCCCAGGGCTTCCTATCTTGACACTAACATGTCTTGGTCCCCACTCAATTATGGAATCAAATCAAAAGGCAGCTTGTGGATTCCTTTTTTTAAAATAAAAAAATTGTATTTACTTAGAAGCATTGGGAGTGTCAACAAAAGTTGCAACTTTTTTTTTTCAATTATAGAGTGGTATTCAGTTAAAAGAACAAAAATTATTTCATATAAACTGCATCAGAGACAACTGAAGATGAAAAACTACCATCCCCATATATAACTAATTTTCACGTGTACCAACAAGAACCTGCTTTAAATTTCTATGCCAATTTACAACCCCCATACTGTCCCAGGCAAGGTTAGTGCCTATTGAAAAACACCACCAGGACAGGAGCTGAAATGTAAAAAAAAAGACACTGTGCAGTTTAAAAACAAATCTGACACAGCCTTACATTTCAATTTTTTTTTTGTTCAAAAGGAGTGAGTTGTGTACAGGGGGGTTAAATGCTTTATAGACAAGAAAAAAAAAAACTGTGCTAGAGCCAACTTATTCATCATCATCCTCTTCATCCTCCTCATTCTCTTCCTCTTCTTCCTCCTCTTCATCCTCATCTTCCTCCTCCTCCTCCTCTTCCTTCTTTTTCTTGCTTTTTTTCAGCCTTCACGACTTCTTTTTTTGCTCCATCAGGT